TGAAGGAAAAGATAAAGGGAAGATCTTCCTTCAAGCAGATCCAGATCCAGCAGAGACCAACTATCCAAAGGAAACGGAAAAAATAGATATTATATTTAATATGAGGCAAAACGATGGTAGGTACCTACCTACCCGTGCGGACCACCACCAACCTTACAAGTTGTAGGTTATTGTGAAAATTAATACAATAAATTTTGGGCTTTTGTTTTTTTATGATTGAAAGATTACTGGTGGCCCGGAGGCCTTTCCAGTTTCACCAGAACAGGTGGGCGAGCAAAGGCTCAGCCAGAAGGGGTGGGAGTTGCTAACAGCTGCTCGAGCGCCTCCGAAGGAGACCTAACAACTCAAGAGCTTGCTTCGCGAATGAATCTACTACCACCGCCCTGCCTATTTCTGCCGTGAAGCAGTAATGCGTTTCGGTGGTTTAAAGGGTGGGGCAGCCGTTGTAACTGTACTGAGACCTTAGAATTTATATCTCAAGGTGCGTGGCGCATTTACTTTGTAGATGTCTATGGGCTCCAGTAACCACTAAACACCAGGTGGGCTGTGAGCTCGTCCACCCAACTAAGCAATTAAAAATTAAAAAAAGACTGAAGAAGCTCACCAATTAAACCATTTTGAAAACTAATTAACTCCGATGGTAACATTAATAGAAAATGGGCTTACCACAGAAAACAATACATTCAGAAACATATTAGTTTGTTAATTAATCAACCAAATGGCAGCATAAGGTTTGCATTCGAATTTCGAATTCGAATTCAAATTCGGAAAATTAAATAATACCTACACACAATATTGATATTTTCATAATGGAACCATCCATCGAGTTAAATTTAGCGAACGCGGCTTAACCAGTTCCTACAGATAATTTCGGGACTCGGCAAGTGGCAATTTATACAACACCCTTTAAAAAAAATTGAAAGCAGTGCAATTAGTGGTGACGTAACAAAACCGTTACACATATGTATATGTCAATTTTAATCAAGAACGCTATCTATTACATTATAACGATGCTAGAAGCAAAATGCAAACATTTTAAAATGACTACTACAAAAACAAGCCAATTACCAATCAACTAGAAAGATATTCAATTTTGTTTATACCGAGCTATGAAGGAGAATACGGGCCGCCCGTAATGCTATTTATTAACCCCACGACCCGTCGTCATTCTCAGTTTTTATACCGATTTAAAAATTCATGCTGCAATTTCGATTTACTGTGCTATATTATAATGGTTATAATTGACTGATAGTTTCAATGCCTCGTTCGGTTCGTGTATACATATATGGTGGTTTTTCTTGAATAAATAATAGTTTAAAAAAACTAACAAAATACGCTTTTATAGAAAATTCAACTAAAAAATAGAAAATGAATTTTAATAAATTTTACGTGGTGTGCTTTTCAGGATATTATCAAAATGACCCTTCTACTCATATTTTTTCATAAAATATTTTTAAGTACTGATACGATACCTGAGTAGAAGGGTAATTTTGATAATATCCTGAAAAGCACCACACGCTTTTTTTACAATAAAATTATTTTTCCTACACTATTTTTAATTCAAATTTCTTAAAATATATTTTCTATTTGTAGTTGGATTTTCTATAAAAGCGTATTTTGTTATAATAGCTTTTTTTAAACTATTATTTATTTTTCATTTTTTAGTTGAATATCAATTTTTTCAATATTTTGTTAATATTGAATTGTCATCGAGTTAGTCAATTTCGAGTTAATCTGACGTTTTGAAGGGGGTTAAAATCATGTTCAAAGATTCTGAAGCTAATAAAAGCGCATTAAAAATGAAATCAAAGGGATGCGGATGGATCCTAGACAAAAGTTTTCACTTCTATGAAAGGTAGCCGTTGTGTATGTAATTCTCGCTTTTCAGTAAAATTTACTATAATGCAGCATGCTGGGTTCCATTTCGAGACAAACGACGTGGATACGTATTTTAAGCGCCTGTGCAGTTCAGGCTTTCACAATAATAATGACATTACATCACTTATAGATTGACGACTGCAATCACTCACATACAAAAAAAAACGATTGTACATAATAATGAAAACAAGTTATATATTATTGTCTAGCAGATGCATTTTCACGATAACAGGAACTAATCATTATGAAACTTTCTCAAAACCTTTCCTTTTACTGAACGTTTGTAGGAGAAGTATATGAAAAGTAGGCATTATTTAGGTTCATTACATCCGTGACTTATTACAAATTATCGTCATCATAATCTTTGAGAAAAATATTTCGAGCAATCAATACAGCGGTAGACAACCAAAAAAAATAATAATCCGAACTACTGTACATATTGTGAAAAATATTATTGTGTATATACATAGATTCATAAATAAAAATGAATACTGCTGACCAATGTCAAATGCTTTAAAATTCAATAATAAATATGCGCATGGAAATGTACTAAATGCAACGCCGTTATCAGTATTGACTGCTCACACGTCATGGCGAGCCTTTGTAAAGAATACTTACGTGTTCAGCTCTTCAGGGCGGTCGAATAGTTGATTTAAATCTCAGGTGTTTAATTACGGACGCTTAAGTTTGCTTAGTGTTAGTGATTAACGCTGTATTATTATTGGTCTCACGCGAATTACGTGGTTTGTTAAGTCATCGAATTCTATCTACCTGGCCTTATCTTATTGTGTGTGTGAGCTTCGTGCCACAGTTCTACAAAGTTCTACAAAGTCTCTTATTTCTTGATTCTCATCTTACGCGAATTCGAATTAATGTAAGTGATACGTTTAATTTATAAGGAACTGTGTATGAGAGTATTTTTTCAAAAAAGTTTGTTTGGGTTCCTTGCAATAAAAATAAATAAAAACGTAGTAATAAAATAAGATTTTTTTTAATTGCTTTAGTGGAAGCCGACAACCCAATAGGTGTTCATATGTGTCTACCGAAAACCATAGACACTATAACGTGAACGCAGGGCCCCTGTGTGCGAAGTGTGCGGTGCACACAGGGGCCAAGACAATAAAGACGCCGCCACCGAATTATTTATATTACAATTACAACATGACAAATTCTTTGTAAATAACCAAACATATAATGCATTTATAATACAAGTCTCTCAAGATTTACGTTAAAACAATAAGTCAAAATTAACAATTAATAAAATAAATAATAGTTTAAAAAAAATTACAAAATAGTGCTTTTCAGGATATTATCAAAGTGACCCTTCTACTCATATCTATTCATAAAATATTTATAACTACTGATGCCATGCAGCCCACGCTTTTTTTACAGTAAAATCATTTTTTCTTACACTATTTTTTAAAATTTATTTTCTATTTTTTAGTTGGATTTTGTATAAAAGCGTATTTTCTTAGTTTTTTTCAATGTTTTCAATATTTATTTTTAATATTGAATTGTCATCGGTCCTTAATAAGTATACCAAATTTCAAGTTTTGAAGGGGGTCAAAATCATGTTCAAAGATTCCGTTACAAACATACATACTAACATACATAAGTCTGAAGCTAATAAAAGCGTATTAAAAAAAATACATTGAAACATGAGGATTCGTAAAAATGAGAGGCGCACGAGTTGCGCAGGTACTGCCGGGGGTCAGTGAGGTCCTGCGGGAATGTTGCTACACGCCTTGAGGTATAAAGTCGAAGTCTTAATAGTGTTGTGTAACGGCACCGGAAACCCCGCCGATCCAATAAGACACAACTGCTTTATGGCCTTTTCGTAAGAAGGTACCCACCGATGCCGGTTTTTTTCCCTACCTATTCACTGGTAGCCTAAGAGGATATTTTAGCTACGCCCGTACGGGTAGGTGAGCTAACGGGCTTAACCTGAGAGAATTTTCTAACACTAGCCCTAACAAGAGCAGTGCTTCGCAGAATCTACACCAGATCGAAATTGCGACCCACTGAGACGATCCGGCGAAAAACTGAATGAGCTATCATGCCAGCTCACAAAAAGCTCGACCACTAACTAGTACAAAAGCATCGTCATTTTATTTTAGTCAGTTCATATTGCTTAAAACCACAATGTAAAATGTAAATGATTACTGGATTAGCCGACGCCTTCACACGGCTAATGAGTCAAGATTTTTTACTTTTGACTTTCAGGGAAAGATATTTCTACATCCATCACTGAAAGTTAATTACGGCGGCCGAACAAGCTCCTACGACCGCGCATCAAAAGGCCGACGGCAAAGGGAAAATCAAATGACATTACTTTTAAAGTAAACCAGCCCTTCAGTGAAACGTTCAGTTATATTAAGATACATTAATGTATTTATGAAATTAAAAGATGAAAAGATGCGAACCGAAACGCATTGCTGCCGTGAAGCCGTAATGCGTTTCGGTTTGAAGGGTGGGGCAGCCGTTGTAACTGTACTTGAGACCTTAGAACTTATATCTCAAGGTGGGCTATTTACGTTGTAGATGTCTATGGGCTCCAGTAACCACTTAACACCAGTTGGGCTGTGAGCTCGTTCACACATCTAAGCAATAAAAAAAGAAGAAGATAATTCAAGGTTGATTGCCCAATGATCATATATAAGTATATAAAAATACGTAACCGTGAGCTTTCTGACAGTTTCCGTTATTTTACACACATATTAAGTATATGAAGAAAAAAAAAGACTAATAATAGAAACAGTCTGAAATATTTCAACGGATTGCATGCATAGATAGTAAGTGATATTTAAATAACGAATGCATGGTATTAAACGAATACATATTATGTAGTTAGGTGTATTTTACACAAAAACATTTTCCCTTGCTGAAATATGTAAAAAATCAATAAATGCCCTTATGTTATTTTAGAACATGAAACGTTTTCCTCATAGAAATTAGATTGATTTTCGAATAACGCGTACAGTTGTATCAAGAGATAGTTTTACATGATACCCGACTGAGTTCAAATGGATACGTCGTGATTTACAAATCGGTCTCGACGACAGCTAATGCAGCCGTGGTCGGTGCATAGAACAGTTACGCAGTAGACATAAGGCCCGTAAGCTGGAAGCAGGACGCACCTCATCTAACTAAGGCCACAGAATCAATCGAGTTATACAGAGTACAATGAAAATCAATATTCAGACACACGTTTGGAGCTAGTGACAAGACACGAACGTAAGTCGATCATAGTTCCTCCGTTTCATTTAATAATTGCTTCGTCAATTATTTAGTTCAATCCTTTGAACTATTTATCCAACTGCGTCACTGAAATCCTATACGATACCTACGGAGACATGTATTAATAAGCTTTATCGAGAGCCGGGCGGACGTGTCAAGGGTGAGCGAAGAAAATATTTTATTCAAACTCAATAAATAAAAGTTCCGAGGAAAATTAGTTCACGACTCAGTGGTCTGGTAATGGCGCGTCCCTGTTTCGTTTCCTTTCGCGCTTGAATTTATATATCTTAATATGATTATTTGCATTAGAAAAATTAGCCATTGAATTAATATTTTTGATACTTCATTTTTGCATGCTTAATTCCAATAGCGTCTTATTATTAGATTCTAATAAGTATTATGAGACAACAAGTTCAGCTACTCATTTTCTTCGTGATCTTTTACAATGTAACCGTGTGTTGTGGTCTTACGAAATTATGACGATTTAAATTAATTAAATTATTTCGATACATACCTCTTTGATTTTGTAATTTAGATTTTCATTGTTACTTTATTATTCATAAATATGGGTGTCAATAATTGATATAACAAAAATTCTAGCTAAAACTTAGTACACTTTTAAGGTTGTGCTACAAAAAATTCTTGAAAACACAGAACGGAAAGATGGTTTTCGTGTACATTTACGCTACTCGTGATTCTCGCTAACTGGAGTGCCACAGAGACTAACTAATACAATCTGACTCTGACTTCTTTCTCTCAGATTTCATAATTATTTTTTATAAAATAAATAAAATGACTTTTAGAATCGTTTTAATACGTAATCTGTGTGAATTTAGAATCAGTTATTTCGAATCAGACATTGCGCGTATTTTTTTAAAATGCGAATAACTTTATAAAAACTATCGGGCTTTTTGAGGTAATTCCTAAGTTAATAAAAAAATAGTTTAAAAAGAAACTAAAAAATACGCTTTTGTAGAAAATCCAACTAAAAATAGAAAATCTATTTATTAAAAGTGTGCGGTGCGCGGTGACAATAGTTTCAATATTTTATGACAGATAATATGAGTAGAAGTCTTATCATTTTGATAATATCTTAAAAAGCATCCCACGCTTTTTTTTACATTAAATTTATTTTTCATTTTTTAGTTTATGTGGCATTATGTATGATAAATGATTCATTAATGTACATTCAGGTCAATACAAAGTTTTTTTATTGTTTAGATTGGTGGACGAGCTCATAGCCCACCTGGTGTTAAGTGGTTACTGGAGCCCTTAGACATCTACGACGTAAATGCGCCACCCACCTTGACATATAAGTTCTAAGGTCTCAGTATAGTTACAACGGCTACTCCACCCTTCAAACCGAAATGCATTACTGCTTCACGGCAGAAATAGGCAAGGAGGTGCACGGGTAAGTGCGGACTCACAAGAGGTCCTACCACCAGTAATTACACAAATTTCAATTTTGCGGGTTTTATTTTTATCACACGATGTTATTCCTTCACCGTGGAAGTCAATCGTGAACATTTGACAATTTTCATGGCAAATGTTCACAAAATCAAACCTGCAAAATTATAATATGCGTAATTAATGGTGGTGGGACGTCTTGTGAGTCCGCGCGGGTAGGTACCACCACTCTGCTTATTTCTGCCGTGAAGCAGTAATGCGTTTCGGCTTGAAGGGTGCGGCAGCCGTTGTAGCTATACTGAGACCTTAGAGCTCATATCTCAAGGTGGTTGGCGGCATCACGTTGTAAATGTCTATGGCTCCGGTAACCACTTAACACCAGGTGGGCCGTGAGCTCGTCCACGCATCTAAGCAATAAAAAAAAAATATGTCGAAAATATTATTTATAATGACAATAAAAAAAAACCGAGTTTAAAAGGTAAAAGTAGTTTGATGTATATTTACAACTTGTGAAAACCGAGAAAAATACTATTTATAATTTACACATTCTGAAATCAGTATGATCGTAATGCTAAATTATTGTTATTTCAAAGGTAATATTGTATTGGAAGTACAGTATTAGGGCACTGTTGATTCGTTGTTCCGTTTTTATCCTCAAAACCCTTCAGTAAAGTGATCGTAGCGAGCCAATTTACTCGCAAAGATACACACATACTATGTTTATACTTAGCTTGTTGTATCAAAGAATTTAAATTGGATACAATGTCACAAAAGATGATTGAGTGCTCGGCGCGAAATTGTTTCTGAATACGTTATTTTCATTTTCAAACCTGTTCACTTTTTAAGAGTTGTCCCTAAATCGTTCGTGAAGTTTACGCTCCTATGATCGAGAATTTTTTACTTTTTTTTAAAGCGTGGTTTATAAACGAGCTAAAAGCTGAAATTAGTTACCAGAGCTCACTGATATATTAATGTGAATTCCTCCACTACCCAGATATGAGGTCGTAATCTCAATAGTATTACAGCTACCCAATTAGAGCTCGTGTCTGCTTCACACCGGAAAAAAACAGGATGTTGTTACAGTACCAGGCAATAAATACTGCACATCGATATTTAGAAAGAGACAGTCGTCTAATTTTGTTCTTGTTGTACGGCGTTACCTGTGTGCGACGAAACACTAATGATCCGGTATTTACGGAGACTAAATGTCAATTAAGTAACATGCGACAGATATAACGAATCTACGAAGCAAAAATTAACCGTCTCTTTCCCACGTACGATGTGCAATATTTATTGCCGAGTACTGTAACTATCCGTGCGGGTTAACAATCTGCCCTAACACTGGCTAACGCTGACCGCAGTGTGTGGTTAAGCACAGACAACATTACTGCCCATTCTCGGATGTATCCTTTGTCGCCGCGCACTACACCCACCGGGAGAGATGGGGTGGTGCCTTTCTCTGACGTACGTCTAGCCTATGGTGTCACGATATACACCATAAAGTAAGAGTGGAGAGTTTTTAAACTGATCGAACTTAAGGAAAAAACCCACAAATTTGTTTTATTTTAAGTACAATATGCAAATATGATAAAATGTTAAAAAACATATAATGAGCTCACAGCGCACCTGGTACTGAGCCTGTTGAACACCTGTAATTAGCTAAGTCTCGTTTTTTTTTTCTTCTAAAGAGATACTTTACATACATCGCATAACATTTAAAATCAGAACATATAATAATAATTGAAGAAAAAGAAAGAAGAATTCTCTAGAAGGTCTGTACAGCCAGTTACCTTTCGTGGAATTATCCAGATGGTGTTTTCGTACAATGTAATCGTATCTTAACGTTAGATGTAATTTGAAACCAGCTCCACATAATAGGTAACTATAGATCTAAAATATTTATTAGTAAACATTTTCTAAATGATGTTCATTTTCATAATCCCACAGGACTCAGGAATATTACGTTACAAGTTTGCGATCACTGTAAGTATGTCTTATTCAATACACAATAAATACTAATTTTATAATGAATTTTCCTTAAATTGCACACACACACACACACACACGCACACGCACGCAACACGGTCGCGAGACAGTCGTTCGTAATACTTTAATCGGTTTAACAATTAACTTCCGGTCGAGATGCTTCAAAACTTCCTATTGTGTATTTTTGGTTACGCATATCCATCAGAAAAGTTACCACAGGCTTCGAACAAAACGGAATGTTTCAATGGCGCATTCAGATCGACTCGGAATATTACGAAGTTACGAAAAACGAAATAACTAATAATCACGCAGTTTACATCATAAAGAAAAACAAACGAATGGGAAGCTGCGGGCGGCGAAACAAAACATTTGCTTCCATACCGTAACACATTAACTGCAACATCACTATAATCTACAAAATCAAAATCTATTCAATGAATAAAATACCATTGGTGGTTGCGCGTTTCGTTACCTTCAATTATAATTTAAAACATATATATATATATATATATATATTTTATGATTGAATGATTACTGGTGGCCCGGAGGCCTTTCCAGTTTCACCAGGACAGGTGGGCGAGCAAAGGCTCAGCCAGAAGCTTAAAACATATACAATAAACATGAAACGAAAATAATAAACACGTGAATAAAACTAGGCACGCCGTCGCCTGAGATTATTGATTTCGTTATATACGTGGGATACAGGTATGAGTGTTGCGATTCTGAGGACCAAGCGAATATAAAACGCAATTTTTTATTTCATTTATAATGGAGCTTGTTTACAGGCTCATCCAGGAGATCTCGACCTAGATTCGCGAGGTCTGACGTCTATGACACGCTTGTACCGACCAGCCCGGGAAAGCTTTAGTGCTTTCTTTGAATTTAAATTGCCATTTAAATTGCATAGCAATATTAGCATTTAAAATACAAAGTTTCAAGATTATATTTAGGATCAGTTCTAGTAAATACACCTAACAAGCTTAATTTAAAACAATACAAAATATTCTGGAGACTCCGAAATTTTTGACCGTTGATAACATCATCGTCATCGCCATCAGACGCATAGTCCTCGGCCAAGCTTTACTATAAAAAGTGATAAAAAAATACACTCCGGTCGGATAACGTTGTTAAAATATTACTTAAAACAAAGTAGTAAGACAAAAATGGAATAGCATGTAATGATCTACATGAAACCTATATTTACATAGATCAGCGTCATGATTTTCACGTTCTATATAGATGTTTGGTGCGCAAGTTACCGTCCATTCACCCGAAAAAATTTAAATCAGCTTCATTAGAATCCTTCATAAACAACTTCAGATTGCGAAGGTTGCCGGTGACGTGAATCTCAACTGGCTATTGATTATATTTTACCCACACGTTAACAATAAGATGCAAAATTATTCTCAGCTACGCCTACGTGTTTACATGTGACGGATGACGTTTTATTTATTGGACATAAATGAGCATTGCATGTCAGAAAATATTTCATTATCTATCCTAATATATAAATCTACAGTGGTTTTTACGGATTTTCCGTTATAACCATGCATCCGATTGACACTTGGTATCCATGTAGAAAATACATATATTTAATGGATAGGCTAATATTTGTATGAGTGTTAATAGTGATGACAATAAATAATAATGTTAATTTTAAATGCGCAGCTAGCTAGCATACGGCTATTAGACTGATAAAACAATGCTTGATATAAGTCAACATTTTAACAGTACACCGATATATGTATATAACGCGAATATTAAAACAGCAATATATAATAGTAATGTAGCCTGGACATTTGAAATATGCGGGGTGCCATCGGCTTGCGCATGCTCAGTGGAGTACTGTGACCGGAGTGAATACCAACTTGCAAATAGAAACCGTCCACTCGCACCTTAGCCGAGGTATCTGGCGCGCTAGCTTTCCGTTAGTGGCTTAAATGTATCGTGCGTGGGTAAATTAATATTTAGTTTTATAACATTAACAAGTGTTTTTCGCGTTGTTCATAGAACTAAATCGAATTCTAGTGAACATCTAAGAAAAATGGTATGTATAATTTATTAATACTGATCATCATCATTTCAAAGTTATAGTTTGATGTTATTTTGTTTGCTGTTTAACCTTTTTATGATATTTTTTCAATCGTTTACGTGTATCTAATACACTCAAGAAACAACATAATTACCATTATTCTTCTTCTACTTTGGAAACTTAACTTTAAAAATCCAAATAAAATATAGACTAGTTTAGTAATTTAACTAACTTTTTTTAATCGTGCCATTTAAATACTAGAACACGTCGTACGTTTTCACACTTTGTAATTACATTGTAACGTTTTAATTCACACGCGGCCACAACAACTTAGACTCGGAAAAGACAAAAGTTTTCAAAGCGTCCCTGTTAAATTGTTCCGCTTAGTTTCGATTTGTATCGGCAGTTTTGTGAAGCATCTTTTTTTAGCTGAAATTATTTATTGTGAATGCGTTTTTCTGCCACTTTTTTCGTTCACTCTTCTCGGGAAAGTCTATGTGCAGTCGCGTACAAATGTAAGTTGGTGACGAATGCTCTAAAACTATAAAATACTCATAAAATGTATTAGAAAGATAACAATACTAAATAATTAACTACATATATCTTTAGTATATTACTTTTAAGTGGCTTTTATACCTGTTAAATGCTTTATCGATAAAATTTTAGACCGCAATAAAACGGGATATTTCGCGACCGTAGCACAAATTATAATCGTTGATATTACAAGTTTATACCGACGCTGATACTAACCATCGATTTTAAATTACACTTTGGTGTGACTAATTTCTAAATAGAGAATAATTCTCCAATTGTCATAGATAGAAACGACTGTTTCGCGACAATCTCCTGCTACACTAAATATACACAGCCTCATTTTCACACACAAAATGAATACTTCACATTTTCCTTCTACAAATTTTATTTTTGTTTATGCTTACTTGGTAACATGATGGCAAAGAAGTTTTAAAGAGAAAAGAAGTTTTTCATTATATTGTTATATGATTGCAAATATAATGGTTGACACGTGGTGGGTGATTTAAGCAACAAAAAATAATTAATACATGGCTCATAGTTGAAACATATTGTAAAGTAAATATTTTATTGTCTTAGTCTTGTTTCCACTGTCTCATAGTTTTCGTAATTATTTATAATCTTTATCTATCTATATATATAAAAATGAATTGCTGTTCGTTAGTCACGCTAAAACTCGAGAACGGCTGGACCGATTTTGCTAATTTTGGTCTTGAATTTTGCTAATTTTGGTCTGGAAGTCCAGAGAAGGTTTAAAAGGTAGATAAATATAAAAATCCTCGGAATGAAATAAAAATAACAATTTTGTTTTTCTTTGACGTGTCCCCGTCCGTCGGACGGATTCCTTTTGTTTGTTTTAAGTTTATTTTATGCAAAAGTTTAGATCTTTTATTTATCAATTAAAGCACTACGAAGTCTGCCGGGTCAGCTAGTTTTTAATACATTTTAACTGTCTTCAATTAATCGTCGTAATTCAATAAATCGTCATATCCAATGACTGAGGTTTTTTTGCGGAGCCTTCGGTTCAACTATGGCGATAAAATTCACAACGTGAACAACGTACCTTCCGATGCAATAGGTTTAATGTAAAATAACTCTGTATTTCTCTGCGACCAACGTAAGCCTCTGCAATCGATAATACTCAATCTATTTGTGCTGCTATCCAACTCTGTGAAACAGTTATAATTGAAAATCATAGTTTTGGACGTTAGTTTATGATTACGGGTTTGTTCATGTTTTATATTCAAATGTTTCAGTTTGATACACCATATTGAATGTCAATTGAGAATAGTAAATAATGCATTATCATTTAAATTTCAAAGATAAAAGGTTGATGATCTAATTTAAATCGTAAAATAAATGTAAGCATGGTTTGCGGAAAGTAAAAAAACTTAAAAGGAAACTTAAAAGGTAGGCATCGACTTGGCTGTGCTTCTGGTATTGCTGATGTCGAAAAACGATGGTAGCAACTCACGATCAGGGAGCAAAAGAAATGCTATTCTAAAATAATTTTAATTATTATTCTAGCAAGACAACGGTCAATTGTCTCGCTTAGTGTTTAGGGTCACTTGAGGTCATAAAATTGCGACTCGAAATATGAGATCGAAAGACTAGTCTGAAGTTAAACTTTTCATGATACAATAGATAATGAAAACATGGTGTATTGTTATAGGGGATCTTTGTCTTTCAGATAACGTTGCGGAGACAGACAGGCGTAGGCGTGATTGATTCAATATTATAATGTATTTCATTTATAAATTAAAGGTCTTCTCCTTTATTATATTTACGTAGAATCTTTTACGATACAAAACAATTGTTTAAAATCAGTCCTTTAAGCTACTTAAAGACGTTTGAGTATATCTCGAGAGGAACTTAATACAGCCCACGGCCGGCTTCTTGTAACTTTTATTTGTAATGGCGTCTTGGTACTGGAATTATTCTTCAACCTGAGATGAAATTTGAAGAAATGTCTGCCTAAAAGTACTTTTTATATAAGTTATTATAATAATAGCTTGAAGATATAAATTTGATTTAACTCGCTCAAAACGTTTCGTTTTGTGATTTTTGTCTCTATAAAGTCGACGTGTCTGTAAGCTGAAAGGCATGAATATATTGTGTTCTTAACAATGTAAAATTTCTATGCATTGTTAAAATTGTTGGAGCTGCGCTTATTTCAAATTGACTGCGTCCGTAAGGTAACACTTTTTCAACTTTAGCTTTGCACGTTTGTAAATTTTTAAAAGGACTGTATTTAAGTTTGAGTGGGGTTTTAAGTGCTGTGAAACTTTGAAACGGATCTTTGGATATTGAGCGCATGTTTTATGCGATCTAACTACGCAGCCTAATTACATACGATTAAATATACGCGTATAATTTAAAGTTCATTTTCATATCTTAAGGTAGGCAGACATTGGCTTTATTTATAGGTTTTTAACTTCAAATTCAATTTTTTAAACATTCTTGACTTGATTCAAATTCTTGATTGATTCAATTTGATTTAATTTAATTTCTTGATGATCCAAATTCTTGACTTGACATGGTTTTTTTTTGCCCTACCTTCATTTTTTTAAATTTTAGTTTTGCGAATTTTAAGATAATAATGAAAATAATTCTAAACTTTGAATATAAATTGTTTGAAGTTAAACACCTATATACAGCAATCGCTTAAGAAATATACTATGTGGACTGTTAGCGCTTTTACAAAGATTACAATAATTAGGTTATAACATCAACAATCTTTTCTTTTCAATTCACAATATTCGCAGAAAATATTTTCTATCGTCCACTATTTCCAGCATACATTCAAGGTCCAAGGCTGCATAGCTCGCGCGGATTCCAATACTTTCATTGAAAACTTCCACATTTTTCATCGATTATTTTCTTTCGAAGCATTTCGAATTTAATGTCAATGTTTATAGTTGTTCCGAAGTAGGTCCGAGGAAATGTCAGATAGCGCTCTACAGGCTCCTGTAACTACTCAACACCTGAAGGGTTCATCTGTTTTTTAGGAGCATTAAAAGGATAAGACAAATCTCCAATCAAAACTTTTAAATCTGATGATGGTTGCGAGTAGAATGTAATTTGACAGATAGTTTTATTGTAAGTCTTCTGTCGATTTAAAACCCGAAACTCTTGACTTCACAGAGTTTGCCCAATTTTTACGACTCACAGTATTTTTCAATTTGCTTGTTTACAACTTAGAATGATTACACTACCACTAACTTAAGTTTTCTGAATATTTACTGTCAACCCTTATATTTAAAAAAATCTAAAATTAGATATATAATTTATAATTTTATTATTAATTTATTTTTACGTAATTGCTAAAAATAATTTCCGCTTCACCCTGACCCCCCTGACCTGAACCTGATTTTCATATAAGAAAAAACGATATTATTAACTTATATTTAGAGCTGCATTTCTTTTATAACAAACGTGTTCAAAGTTTTTTAACTTATTTGCCATCAAGTTACCTTAAAATCTGTGTGCATTTTCATTGTTAGGGAGATAAAACTCACTGTCTAGAAAGTTTCATAGCGTTCGGTCTGATGCCTCAAAATAAAAACAAAGGCTCTAAATGCCATGAATTTAAAAGAAACAATTCCTGTTAGTTCATTATTTTGATACATAATTCAGTATCGCATTTTTAATTAATAGTTATTACGACAATTGTCCACGAAACTTCCACTTCTAATGCAATAGACAATTATGCAACTTCGCGTTCCTGGGAAACGGAATTTAAGGCATCAGAATTGAACAGACCTATTTCAAAGGGAATCCATTAATTTTCAATATCACTTTTCTTACTCCAACGAGGCGTATCCATGGCCCTTTCCTGATCGGCAAAGCGAACAGATAAGGACATACTGGGAAGCGGTTCAAGCCACATACGACGCCGCTCGGGCGGATTTATACAGACCCCATCAGTCCGCGTTCAAGCCCGTCCGACGTATGAGTGGCGATGACCCGACACAACTTCCAAGCACCAGTTATATCGGAGAAAGAATCGATATACCATGTCAATGCGGGTTGGGTGATGGATGTCCGCGACGAATTGAACAACTGAGACGAACTCAACTAGTGCTAAGAAATGGAATGGAGAGGTATTCCGCAAGGCCGTCTATTTATGGGCGGCCTATTAGAGAAGATAACTGGCATGTGGTCGAACCACCGCAACCCCCATCGAACTACGTTCCAAATATATTCGCAGTGCAGCCAGCCTATGAGTATAACCAGATGAATTATTATCAGCCTCCAACGTACCAAGTGCTGCCTCCGCCATTTTATCCGTCTCCACGAGTCGTTGTTCCGGCGTCGCATCCTCAAAATGTTCTATTTCTAAAAAATGTTTATCAAAATTCACCTAGTTACACCTACGAAAGACTCAAAGCATATTTTCAAGAGTAAGACTTTGTTTCATTGTTCTATTAACTTAAAACTACTTCAAACTATCAAACTGGGTTTAATTCAAGCCATATATAACTAACATCCTAATTTACTGTATGATATTGGAATGTAAGTAATATTCATTCTAAATAACTGTTATTACACTGATTTGAATCTTGTTTGAATTTACTGGAAGAATTTCTAAGATGTAAAATTAACAAGTAGTAAATTTTTTATAATCGCTTTTTTTCGACATTCATGTCAAGTACATCAGGCGCGGAGTCGGAAAACTATGTTATTAGATCATCTTTCAGTAACTTTTGTAAATAACCAATTAAAATATAATTGTTTCAGTAATGATTTCTGGCTTATTTAGACAAAATAGTGTTACGTATACGACCAGACGATAATTTCTTATACCTATCCTTCGTACGAAGGCAACTTCCAATTGTTTTTCAGACAGTCGTCTTCGAGTAGCTATTATTGTGTAAATTAGCCAATAATTACATAAAACATTATATAAAACACCAACATGACACAAAATTGTACTAGGGATCTGTAATAGATTCTAATTTTTCAATCAACAATTGAACCAAGAAATTTAACACCACAAATAGTATAGACAAATAATGTTGATTCAAGATCTTTATGCAGTAGAGTAGTTAAATTAGTGGTCAGATATAGGCATAAGATTTCCAAAGTGTAAGAAGAAATAAATTTGCAATAAAACAGGTAAAGATTTAAATGAAAAGGTTGAAATAATATTATAATGTATTTGATTGAAAAACCGTATACAAAACAGTAAGATGAAAATAATTTTCACGAAAATCATAGAATATACAAAAACATATATAATATACAGCAGTACGTATGACTACACTGTAGTACTGTTTTTTAATCAAATCTAAGATTCGTAGAAATGACAAAGTATCTAGATTAACTTAAATAACACACTACAAATAGAATCATCTTTTTAAATTTTATCTTAGAACTAAACACGTATTTCACAACTAACTCTATATCTATTTAATGTTTTTGGAAATTCTTTACGATCTAAATATTACATTAAGGATTCTTCTAGCTCGTGTAGGTGGTGCTACGCCGCAACCGCGTCGCCCGCGCTGTTTCATAAAAAATAATGAATGAATTAATTTTTTATTTCCAAACTCATTTGACGTATAGAAATTGGTATTTTATTTCACGATTTTCATTTATTTGAAATGTTTCAGGTTTCAAGGATATAAAACTTTACACTTACTCTGGGAGTTCGTAGACGCAGCGGCAGTAATATTTTCAAACGATCCCTGCACACGTTGGGCGGCAGCCAACGTTCAGGGAAAATATCTGAACCCTGCCCGACCCCTCGAAGCATACGTGCTGGACTACAACTTTGTTATGCCCTTCCACACGTGTGGACCTAATTGTACTTTTGAAACTCGTTAAGTGCTCACTAGATCGTCATTCATTAAACCGTTCGGTTTTTCTTATATTATAAATCCTATTATAAAATTAAGAATTAGCGTTAAGATGTTGAGAGAAATAGTGTTTGTTTTTATGCTGATCTTTGCAGCAACCGTACATTTCTATGAGCTTTATAAGCTGTACGAAAAGAATAAGTCGCTGGAGCTGTTACTGGAAATATACCAGAAAATTTCTATAGAAACTGGCGAAGATCCCCTTAACTTGACACACGTCGGACGTCGCTTGTACATAACAGAATAGGGACATAGCATAGGTAACTATTAAAAAAGTTTCACAACAGTACGATAAAACATTAATATAATCTGAGGAATCACCAGTCATGTTGGGAGACTTTTTTAATGTGTTTTCTTAATTTCATTTCTTTTAATGCACCTGTTTAATTTTTGTTAATGGTCCTTTAGGTTTAGCCAATAAGAATATAGTCTTTTAATCCTGTATTGAAATAAATTCGAAGTATTCGCATTGTATTCGGTTAATAATTAAAAACCAATGTAATCTTTCAGAAGCAGACGGACCCTGTTTCTTCCCATTGTAATATTTTTCAACATTTTTTATATCTAAATCAGTTTAATTTCTTTCACACGAATTCAAAGTTTGCGGAAAAAATGTAAAAAATTGTAGATACGATAGATCCGGTTTGTAATACTTTTATTCTTTTCCAGTTTAATAGTTTGAAGCCAATGTTAGAAAAAAACCTGACCGCAATTGCCAGATAACTTTAAAGAATCATAAACACATAGTAAAATAATAGTTCCTTTAATAATATGAGAAATGTGAAAGCAAAAGATAGACCGAACACCAGTATTCAATATTAGTGAATAATTCAGGGAAAAAGCAAATTAAAGAATTTTCCTCCTTCAAAGAACTCGCAAGGAATTCGTTTTAAAAGATTCCAGAAGTAGTTCTTATACGTAGTGTAGACATAAGTCTGCTAAACTATTAATCTTATATTTAAAATAATATGGAATGGCTAACAAACTGAAATAATCTCATCTGCAAACTAGGATTGAGGACTAGAACTTCTTATGTTTATTTAGTTTACAATATTTTAAAATGATATGGTTAAATTATGCAAATAGCTTTTCCTATCGTAAAAACCTTTTTTCATTAGACCGAACCGTTGAATTGAAACAGGATAGGTTATTAGTCACTTAAAAGTATCTTTACGCAATTTCTAAATAAATAACTCAATGAATAACATTTTCAACAATGATTCAAGCCTTGATTGAACACTTTCTTTTCGATATTTTTCATTACATCGAAGAAAACAAAAGAAATTAAGGCAATTATTGGTGCGTAGTTAATTTTATTATATAAAAGCGTCCGGGAAGTAAGCTATCTATAATTATTTGCTGGCAGAAATCGGTAGTACGTATTCCTGTAATCTGTATAGTCATTAATAAAAACAATTATTACATCACGGGGCATCATTTGAGAATGGTTGGTTTATTTGAAAAAACCTCAATACATTTTTGAAACAATGAAAGAAGATGGTGATCAGATTTCACTAATTTGGTAATTTAAACTACATTAAAATCATTTTAAATGTGAAATTATAGAATAATGTATATGTAAACAATTATAAACAATATTAAGTATTTTTCCGTATGCAGAAAAATACATTATATAACTTTAATGTTTTTCTTAAATAGGAATATGCTTAGTATTTTGAGAAGTATAACATAATCTATAATAATATAGTTTCTACTGTCATACACAAACATCTCAATCAAACTTAATGGTCTAATGTAATATTTGAATGTTAGTCTATAAGTCAATCCTAATTGGAATAGAACTATAGAATAACTGTCTATTATGAATTGATAAGATTTAATGAAAACTAAAATAAGGGATTCTTTAATAAAATTACTCGCATTTATGTTGCTAAACATCTTCTTACTACGTTGTATTATTTCCAGTACTGTAAAATTTCAGTAATTAAAAGATTATTATAGTTATATAACTGTATTCGTGTTAGATTAATATCTTATAGATCATTAAGATTAATATCTTAAATATAGTACATGGAATCAGACTGAAGATTTTTTATTTAAAAAATTCCGTAATATATAATTCTGAAAATAAGAGTTAATTGTAAAATAATGTTGATCAGTAATAGCAGATTTTTGTACGACTTTATAAATGGAAAATAATCATACATATTTCATGTACACAAGCAAAAGTGAAAGAAGGCGTAGTGTGAATCGGTAAATGAATTTTCATATCTACTGTCTGTACTGTACTCTCACTATACTGCCTGTCTACGTCTGCCCTGAAACAATGACACATTTAAGAAAAAACACATTGGCACTTTCATCTCATATGTATCTAAGGGTATCTATCATATAATCAATAATAGTACATTGTGCACCAAGGGAGAAAAGTAGGACATTTCCTCCCGCGTGTAAAATTGGCAAACACGCGGGATGAGATGTCCTACTTTTTTCCGCGGTGCACATACTATTTTTTCTCCTACCAGGCCAAAAGTTCGTGGAGTACCGAGCCGAGGTCCAGGGGCGAAGCCCCGGGGGGTCCGGGGGTGAAGATCTGGCGGGGGATAGGGGTGCGGAGCTCCCCCATTCTCATATAAAAACAATTAAACTGATTTTTAAATAAACTACTACTAATTGAATAAGAACTGTCTGATGAACTCATCTTTGTTTAATACTTCTGACTACCCGAGCACAACAATGGCGGAGAATTTTAGGTGCGTGAGAGCAGACATAGACACTAACGCGCAGGCGCACTTGTCAGTACCTAGGGAGGGAAAGTTAGACTTTCTTCCCTGTACAGCGGGACGAAAACCGAACTTTCGGCGTAGGTAGGAGAAAAATACAACTTTTCCAAATAAAACGAGAGAAGATTATGACTAAACGATGACAGTACTGTAACTAGTCAGGTCATAAGTATTGTCACACAGTAAAAACTATTCTTTTAGAATGCTGGCCACAAAAAAGTTTATTGAATTCGAATTTCGAATTGTTCATGAAAATAAAAATGTATACTTTTAGAATTTTTACTCATTTTTAAATATGGAGTGGACGCTTAAAGAAGACCGTGTTTCAGTTATTGCGTTGCATCGTTGCGGTTACGCGCCAATTAAAATTTTTAACATACTGAAAAAATTTAATATAACCAAAAGATTCGTTTAACGTACCATCAAATGATACAATGAAAACTCTAGTGTAGATGACAGGTAAAGAAGTGGTCGCCCTCGGTCTGTTAGGACTCCAGCAGTGATAAAAGCTGTGAAGGCGCGAATTCAAAGAAATCCCAAACGTAAGCAGAAACTGTTGGCTCTTTAGATGGGGTTAAGCAGAACCACGGTGAAAAGGGTGTTAAATGAAGACTTAGGGCTTCGGGCATATCGAAGAAAAACAGGACATGGTTTGAATGCTCGTCTAATGGACCTGAGACTGAAGAGATGCCGCGCTTTGTTGAAGCGGTACGCGGGAAAAATATATCGGGAAATTCTTTTTTCGGATGAAAAAATTTTTACCGTAGAAGAGAGCTACAACAAACAAAATGATAAGGTGTACGCACACAGTAGTGAAGAAGCGAGCAACCGTATTCCGCGTGTTCAACGAGGTCATTTTCCATCCTCGCTCATGGTATGGTTGGGAGATTCTTATTGGGGCTTAACAGAGGTACATTTTTGTGAGAAAGGTGTAAACACGAATGCAGTTGTGTGTCAAAATACAGTCCTGACGAACCTTGTGGAACCTGTTTCTCATACCATGTTCAATAACAGGCACTGTGTATTCCAACAAGATTCGGTGCCAGCTCATAGAGCGAAGAGCACACAAGACTGGCTGGCGGTGCGTGAAATCGACTTCATCCGGCACGAAGACTGGCCCTCCTCCAGTCCAGATTTGAATCCGTTAGATTAGAAGATATGGCAACACTTGGAGGAAAAGGCGTGCTCAAAGCCTCATCCCAATTTGGAGTCACTCAAGACATCCTTGATTAAGGCAGCCGCCGATATTGACATGGACCTCGTTCGTGCTGCGATAGACGACTGGCCGCGCAGATTGAAGGCCTGTATTCAAAATCACAGAGGTCATTTTGAATAAACTTTAGTGTCATAAGAATCTATGTTTGTTAAGTTCATTTTGGTATATGAATGGTTACATAATGAATAAACTTGTTTCAATTATTTTACATTAAACATGTGACAGAATTTATGACCTGAATAGGTATATATGTTGGAGTATTTCCACTTTCGGGTAGCGACATGGTAAGCGGGCGGTCTTCGTAAGTCAATAAAACCAGAAATGTTAACTCAGAGCGCATACTACGCAGGAGCGCTCCGTCCGACACGGCGACTCGCTCGCTTCTCAGCTCGAGTTTTTTTTTTTTTTTTTTCTTTTTTCCTACCTAAGCTGAGAGCCTTGAGAGGCTATGTCAGCGTAACCCTAACTTTTGTAGGTGAGCTCACGGGGCTCAAACCTGATGACGTTGCTAACACGAACCCTAGCAAGAGTCGTGCTTCGCAGAATCTACCACCGGATCGGAAACGCGACCCACTGAGAAGATCCGGCGAGAAACTCAGGACAACAACGGAGCGTTTTTATAGCAAGGTATCGTGGTGGTACGATGTTGTTTACGACTCTTATCTTGCACGTGTTGTTTTCGATGAATGCTTGCACCTGTTGTTTGTCGTCCCATCTTTATTAGTCATGAACTAATGGTTTATAAAAACACGCGCCGACATATATAGGTACGAGTATGTAGTAGTATTTTAATGCGATTTCTATTACACACATCTACACATACACAAACAAACGCACACGAATATAACAAAAATAAAATAAAATCTATGTCTATATTTTATACAAGGCAATACGAAAACTCTCCTAAAAAGTCAAATGATTCTGTGTACTTTTACTGGTTTTCTTAAAATAAACAGATTTTCTTAAAATAAACATTAAAAACGGCGCGGCTTCGAGTTTCCAAGAGAAAATGCAAGACCTAATATAAAATAAAATACAGCCTCGCTTGTTCAATCGAATTAGCATGAATCAGTCCCGCCGCTGTCGCTCCGCAGTAAACCAGTTAGGACGTCAATATCAGATTGGAGAAAACATGCTTCGTTCATTATGAATATTACTGAAGCCACGAAATTATTAACTATCATCAACCTCCTTATTATTTTTCATTAAAACCAAAAAAGTTCAATTATATCCTATATGTATATTTATAATTTATGTAATGTTGAATAAGACACCTCTCCCATATTCTAAAAGCAACATTATTATGAGATGGAAGTAATACAAATGCTTAATGAAGAAGAAAACCGAGAACCTATTATTAAGAATAACTCAATACTCAAATCAATTCAAGTACTAATCAGATCTTGATAAAATTGACATGGACAAAATGAGCTTTTAAAATCGTTCACGTAGATGAAAGTTCTGATACAAAAATAATAATAAATATTAAAAATAAAAAAATATCCGTACTGAGTGCCTCGGCCTTTAGTGGAAACGGTTAAAAAGAATCGTTTTTTTTTTGCTAAAGTAGATATAATCGTCGAACATTTTTGTTGTTAAGTTTACAAAATATTTCGTTCCTTCTACGGTGATCACGTTAAAGCTCGGGAATGGCCTAGAAATAAGATTCATAAAAAAAAGTGATATACTATCGCAACCTACCTATGTAGCCTAACGATCAAAGAAACGTTGCAATTAAGAAAATGATAAACCGAACTCATAATATTGATACAATTAATAAAATTGACATTGTCTACTCGTAGTATCTAGCTCAACAATTCAATTATAATGAAAGCATAACGACACTGTGCCACTGGTAAGGTAAGTGATAAGTTATATGGTTAGCAAATATACATACTAACGTTCGTAAAGACGGACATCGTATAAGTATTCATATTAAATTAAAGATTTATATGTCGTTCTCATATCGTTGTCATTGGCATCGTCGAAAGAGTAGTGATGAAATTTTACAAAAAAGAAAACACGAATTTAACAAAATAAAATTAGAATAATGTCATCGAAAGTCAATCAAAAAGGCATTAGAAAGGATAACTCAATAACTTAGAAAATTTTAACACGACCACAGGAGAAGCACTTGGTCTCAAGAAGAGAGTTTTAAAGATCGGTTTATTAAGAAAAAGAAAAAGGTAACACACATCAAAAATATAGTCGAATCCAGAAACTCGTTTATTTCTGAGGTCGGTTGAATAATTGTCAACTGTAATTCAACTTGCCGAATTTCATGTTTTTTTTCTACTTAATTGCATTGTCAGCACATTACGACATTCTAATTTAAAAAATTGAACTACGTCATATTAATGGTTAAAAGTTCATATAAGTTTTAAAGTGATCTAAGTAGGCGACAGTTTTGTTTGTTCATTTTGTAAAGTGTGTTCAGGAATACTACGCAGTGTGTACTTTTAACTTGAGACTTGAGAAGT